AGCCTGCACTGAAGAGCAGAGCATCGCAAATACCCGGCGCCAACCACACGGCTCTGTCCAATCTGCACAGTACACCCGCATTGCTGGCTTTTTCAAAAGAAAAACAAAAACCGGAAGTTATGAAGCCCCTAGCTTCCCTTCCTGACCCTTTTCCTTTGCCCTCTTCCCAAGGAAACATCACATTGGCCTGTCCGTTCCCTGCAGGTGTAGATTAGCTTACTGTGCCAGGGCCTAAACAATGCTTAGGTTTGGGGAGGGGTGTATGTGGCTTCTCACGTGACATGCAGTATACTCCCTTCAAGACTCACCCCTATCAGTAATAGGCTGGAGATTTATCCACGTGGGAGAAGCAGCTTTATTTTCACTGCCACCTACCATGATCAACACAGTGTTCCTCGGCACTTTCTCACTGATGAATATTGGAAGATTTTTTTTTTTTTAAGATTTATTTACTTATGCATACATTACTGAGGTACAGGCCAGAGGTGCGGGGTTGGGGTGGGGGCGGGTCAGAGGATTCACCAGAGACAGAGTGTGGGACAGAACAGGCAGATCTATTGAAAGCCACTGCTGAGGGCAGCAGCAGGCGGGACAGGAGAGGTCTGCTGTGCCCTATGGGTCAGCTTCCTGGCTGGGGATTGAACTCACACTGCAGGGGCTGGAATAGCTTCACAGTGCTGGACCAGGGAGGGCCTGGCAGATTTTTTAAAAAATGTATCCAGTTGTATAGATTGACTTTTTTCCTGCTTCTAATCAATGCACAAGTGCCGGTGTCTAGCCTGGGTGTCCAGAGGTGGCCTGCCCAGCTCTGCCTTTCTAGGTAGTTGCTAGCTTGCTCACTATGGTGGCTGTGCCCAGTCATCCCCCAGAGCTTTGGTGGTGGTGTCCGGCTTTTGTATTCAGGCTTGTCTGCTGTGTCCCCCTTTCCTGACTATAAGAATTGGAGAGGAGTGATAAGGGTCCCCCACTTTTGGAATTACTAGGGGATGGTTTATCAGGTCTCCTTGGTCTGTGAACTTTTTCTTTCCCATTTTATGGGGACAAGACAATCAGGCAGGCCTTACTTAATAGCACAGGGCCTGGCCGTGCTCTCAGCAGAGGCAGCAGAGGGCGATCGCTATTCAGGTTTTTTTAGTGTTGCCTTTCATTTTACGGATGGGAGGACTTTACTTGTATCTAGCTTTCTTCCTTCCCACTTTTCTCTCAGTACTGTGGAGCAGAGAGGTCCCTAGGCTATCCTCTTGCCTCTGGGGGAGGGCAGGATTTCACTGAGGCCACACTGAGCCCATCTTGGCTTGGACACACTTCCCTGAAGCCAACACACAAAGGGTGAACATCCAAGTTCTCCTTCCACAGATTGTTCCAGAATGCTGAGACTGGACCCCCTGCTCCCTTCTTTCCCCCTCAACTGCTTTTTAGGGCAGGGTAGGAAGGACTACCAGTCCCAGTCATTTGCCTTGTGACTTTGGTTGACTCTTCTGGAAAGCAGAGAGGAGAATGTAGCTCACACGCTGAGTACCTCTCTGTGCCTGGGCGCCTTCTGTCCATACCTTCTTATCCTATCCTGTTCCCTTTCCACCTGAAGAGGATGCTGACCTCCAGAAAAGTGAGGTCATTGGCCCAGCAGGGTGGAGGAACTGGGATTCACATTAGTATCATTAGTGCTACTGACCCACAGGGCTGGCAGAGGTTGTAGCTGGTCCTCAGGACTGTGCCTCGCTCCTTGCTGCCCTTCCACACCTGACCACCCTTGCATCTGGGTACAGACCCACTCTAACTCCCCCTTCTCTCTGTTTCCCTAGAGACAAGAGGAGCAGCAGCGACACCGCCCCTCACCCTGGAGGGTCTTGTACAATCTCATCATGGGACTCCTGCCCTTACCTAGGGGCCATGGAGCCCCTGAGATGGAACCCAATTAGTTGCCTGCACCCTCCCAGTGGACGTTGGGGACTTGGGGGGCAGGACCCTCCCACCTCCTGACGCCCTGGCCAGTGCAGGGGGCATTTTCTGCACCATGTAGCATACTGGACGACCAGCCCTGCCCGTCCCAGGGGCAGGCCAGTGCAGCCACTCCAGACCCAGCCCTGGCCTAGCCTGGGGACACGGACGGAGATGTGGACTCCTGGGTCCCTGGCCAAGAAGCCAGGGGAGAGAGGGCTGACGGACTCAGCCTTGGACTCGGCGTCTGAAGGCAGCGGTGACTGAGGGGGTGGGGACTGAGCCGCCTGCCTCTGCTGCCCACCACCATCTCAGGAAAGGCTGCTGGTGCTGGCTGCCCGTTCCAGCTGCAGTTGACACCCAGCGGGGTTCCCTCTGGGTGCTCCTTCACTTTGGGCCTGGACGCAGGCCCCTGGTGCTTCCCCCCCTCCTCTTGGGGAGGGGGCCCGTGAAGAGCAAATGAGCCAAACGTGACCACTAGCCTCCTGGAGCCAGAGAATGGGGTGCGTCTGATGGCTGCCCCGGCCCAGCGCCCAGCCATCTTCCGTGAGCCAGCTGGCAGGTGGTGGGCATGCCTGTCTCACCTTCATCTGGGGGGGCCCAGACTGTGAATCCTGTGCTCTGCCCACGACCACCCCCCGCCCCCATCAATCCCATTCATAGGTTTAGAAAGAGCACGCGTGACCACTGGCATTCATTTGGGGGGTGGGATATTTTGGCGGAAGCCGCCCCAGCCTTAGTCCCCAGGGCAAAGTGCTGGGGGCAAGTCGGGGAGTCAGGGAGGGGGGAACTCAGAAGAGGGAGGAGTCTGGGAGCGGGGAGGGATGGCCCAGCCTGTAAAATACTGTATATGCGCTGCTGTAGATACCGGAATGAATTTTCTGTACATGTTTGGTTAATTTTTTTTGTACATGATTTTTGTATGTTTCCTTTTCAATAAAATCAGATTGGAACAGTGGATACTCTTCCTGATCTCCCTTCCCACTGTGGGGCCTGGCCTGAGCCTTTGTGATCTTGTTTTGGTATACGGGGCACCTCTGGGTGGTGTAGCTGTGCCCACCAGGAAGGCTAGGGGGCGTGGCACCATTGCAGGTGCCCAGTTTCCTGCATTCCAAAGCAAACTCCTCAAGAGTAAAGAGTTTGTGCTCCATGCGATTTTATCCCACTGGATAAAGCACACCCCGAGGCCTTGATGTTAACTCATGAGTGACCTCCAGCTTATTCAGGCAGAGGGGCCCTAAGGGAGAGTACCCGGGCAGGCTGCAGGCAGGCTCCTGAGGCCTAGCCAACGGCCCAGCATAGAAAGCCCAGGTTGGGTCAATGTAATGGGGTGCACCTGCTACTCAGACAGGACAACTGACCACATGCTGGCCTCGTGCCCTCCCCCAATCATGACTGCTGGGGACAGGTCATGATTGATGGCTGCCCCGGCCCAGCGCCTTCAGACCCCAGCCCTGCCCTCTCCTGGCCATCCTCACTGGGAATGGCCCTTCTAAAATGAAATCAGCACTTCGGAGAGACACTGGTATATGGCAAACACTATCAAGTGGAGGACACAGTCCTCAGACCTGATGCCAGCACAGGCCTCCTCAAGAAGCAGCGGTGCACAAATGTGTCCGTGTTGGGCGACACACAGAACCCGAACTGCTGGCCACACAGTGGAAAGGGTCAATCTACTCTAGTCACACTACAGGATTAACAGCAGTTCCCTGGAATGAACGAGAACTGTATTGATCTGAACAAAGAATAGCAAGTGGTAAAATGATGGTGGGTGACTGGGTGTTTGTGGTACTCTTTTCTTTCTTCATGCTTGTACTTGGGCCCGAGGCCTCCCGGCTGTGTTCATGCCAGCTGTCTGCCAGCAGCTCTGGTTCTCACTGCGGTCAGGGGTGCTCCCCCCACCAAGCACTTCCCGTTCTTGGAGGAATCAGGTCTGTTTTCCATTGGTACTGTTAGCTCTCGGTTCCCGTCTCCTGGCTTCTCAGATTTGTAGTTTTTAGAGTTCCCTTTCAGTTTGTCTTTTGCTGTTTCGGGACTTGGTTGGCATCACCTCAAACAACCCCTCGGAAGGCTCTGCAGTCAGGGTTGGGGCGCTTCACTTGCCATAGGGAACTGCGGCTGTGGCCCTGCTCCACACCTGGCTTTGCTCTGCACAGGCGCAGAATCTCACTTTCCTGCACTTTGCAGCGACTGTGCTGTCTTCACATTGCAGGTCTGCAGCGACCCGCGTGGACAAGCCAGCAGTGCTATTTTTCCAGCAGCGTACCCGTACGTGTCAAGCTTACTGCCTGAAGACTGTTTAGACAAAAAGCCACCACATTCAAGAGGCTACACTAACAGTAGTGAAAATGGAACTTTTGGGGAAGATTTTAAATTCATTTATGCACACAAGAACTGGTCTAGGCCAGAGGTGCAGAAGCAGAGGGGTGTGAGAGGATTCACTAGACAGAGTGGGGTGTAGAACAGTGGTTCTACTGAAATCCACTGAAGGGAGCAGAGGGGAGGACGGCAGGAGGGGTCTGCTGTGTTCCCTGGGTCAGCTTCCTGGCTGGGGACTGAACTGCTGCAGTGGCTGATGATAGCTTGAGAAGTGCTGATATTTTAACGCCTGCTCCACCAGGGAGGCCCCATTAATGGAAATTTTATATGCAAACTAAAACATTCATGGGATGTCACTTTATGGGGACACTCTACAACTAAGCCTGCAGTACCTTTTAGGTGTGGCTGTAGCTGTCATCTGGGTCACATCTACACACACTAAAAACTCCACAAGAAAATGTGATGACTTTAGCTTTAAGCAGTCATATCTATTTTAAGGAAATTAAGAGGAAAAAAAATAGCCTTTTGGAAAAGCCTTCCCACTTCGTTACCATTTCCAGAGCTTTCCAATCTATCACAGGTTCCAAGTTTGCCCTGGGATAATTCCCTCTGAAGTCCATCAGCATTTCTTAGTGTTATTTCTGCCAGTGACAAATTCTTTGTTTTCTTTTATCTGAAAAGATCTATTTTAACATCTTGAAGGCTATTTTCATTGATTGTGAACACTAGGTTGACATCTCCTTTGGATATTTCAAAGATGCTGGTTGTCTGTCTGGTGGCCTCTGTCCTTCCCTCATGGAAAACCCTGGGTATCATTTGAAGCACTTTTCCTTGTGACGTATTGTTTTGTCAGGCTGCTTTCAAGATTTTTTTTGTCTCATTTTCATATTGGTTACATCTAGGCAATATTTTTCAAATGTATTCTTTTTGGATTTGCTGCATCTTTGAACCCTAAATTATCTTTTATCAAATTTCAGATGTTTAGGTCACTATTATTTGTTCCTTATTCTACTGGGACTCCCATTACTTGTCTATGATTAGACACTCTTTGATAGTATTCCACAAGTGTCACTATTTTAAAAAAGGCCCTCATTTCTTAGACTGGGTAATTTCCATCAATCTACTTCCAGGTCACTGAATCTTTATCATGTTTGTGTTAGGTTTATCTAATGTATCTCGTCTTTTCCTTGAGAATGGGTCACATTTTCCTAATTCTACATCTATTAGGTAATCATGGAGTGTTCTGGATATACATTCATAGCAAAAGGGTCACCAGGAGCCTTTCGGCTAAACACACACAAACTTGGGGGTTCCCTTCCCTGGTGCTGTGCTTTTCAGGTAAGACTGACAAATTTCTGGGCTCTCTCTTCTCTGGCTCTTCTGAGTGTTAGCTACCAGATGTGGTGCTAGGGGTGATAGCCTGTCCTCTGGGTAAAACCATGGAAAAGCTGAACCCCTAAGAACTCACCCTCTGGTGGGCTCCTCTTGCACCTTCCATGCTCCTCTAAAACCCATCAGCTTCTGTTCACTCTCCAGGGCCTTCAGTGTAGCTCTCCCCACTATTTTGCCTACAACTTAGTTAATTTGGGGTTTGGGGGCAGCGATTTGAAATGTTTACCAGAACAGAAACAGAACTTATGGCTTTCTCATAGACCTAAATCTATTTTGTGTGTGTGTGTGTGTGGGGGAGAGGGGTACTTAAAGTAGGGACTCCTATCCCATTGCTTCTACTGAACAGAGGCAGAGACTCAGTGACAGTCAAGACTAGGGAAGGTCACAATCTGTTAGCAATGTCCAAAGGGCTCTGAGAAGAACAAAAGGAACATCTTGTTCCAGAAGTTAGGGAAACGCCTAAAGTCATCTTTGTGGCCTTCCCTCTTGGAACCAAGGTGCCAACAAGGCACACCAGTTGGCAGAGTGTGGACTGGGAGCACCTGACAATGAAGCCTCAGCTAAACCACCATCATCTGCAAACACAACTTTTAGCAAGCAAATCCCAAACTTGACCAACACTCTTCACCCACCTTCAAATGCCCCCATCCTGCAACGGTTGCTCTGGAAAGGGAAGACTTACTTCCCATTGTTTATGTAGTTTTTTCCTTCCTTAAAAAATACAACTCCGTATCTTTGTAAACTTCAACTTTGTAATCCAAGCATGTATTATCTATCCAAACAAATGAAATGTAAAATGCTCCCACCCAGCCTTTTGGAAAGTATCAACAGCTCAAAATATACCTGCATAATCAGTAACCAACACTGGCATTGAGCATGGGGCAGTTGTTCCATGTGCATAAAGGAAACAAGCTCAACGTCATTGAACAGCAGACTCTGGCCAGCTGTGGTCCGTCTGCCATTTTGAAATCTGATGCACTGATAACAGTCTCCAAGACATAGTGAGAAAATGCAAGTTGTGTACAAATAGTTATTTATGACTACCATAGTAGGTAAGAGTGAGCAATTTCAGGTCTAAGAATGTATTCAATCATTTAATCTCCATGTCAGAGGAATGTACGACGATTATCTCCATTCCTCACATGGGGTAACTGAGGCACAAAAAGGTCACTTAGCTACGTGATAGTGTCTGGATTCGACTCTTAACAGTCCAGCGGCTTTACTCTCAGTGGCTGCCAGATAGGACCTCTAGAAGGATATGTGAAAGTAGAGACAACTAATCCATACAAAAAGCATCTCCTGTTTCTCTCCAAAACCCTGCGTTTAACTATGAAGTCAGCTACTCAGGTTACACGGCCAACACTGAGCTGCCAGCCCTTAGGAACAGCCACTTTACTCTGACACTTGTGAACTGCTTACGTTTTACTACGAGCTTAAGAAATTAAGTGCAGGAGACCCTCCCTCAGCACAGAGACAAACAGCAGGGCCACTCAACCACTGTCTAAGCGCCCACCAAGAAGATCCCTGTCAGCCTAGACTGCATCCCTGACATGTGGGGTCAACTACAACCCAGGAACGGCGATAGCCGCTGACATGGAGTTGCTGTAAGGAGTAAAGTAACCTAAGATTCAAGCTTGCTGAAAGGTACCAGGCCAGCAGTACAGCGGTAGTTACTGCTACTGTTAAATCCTCTTGACTAGCCAAGTAGAACCAAAGCCTCTAGTTCCCACCTGTAAAGAACCAATATGACACAGCTTAACAGACAGGCACACGTTTATATATATGAAAAAATATGCAAGAATCTGGCAAGAATGGTCTGCACTGCAGAGAGAAATGGCAGAATGTGGGGCTATGAGGGGCTCCAGAACTTTTAAATATGTCTTAATTTTTGCCCTTTGCATGTATTTTTCTTTTTTGGGAGTAGCACCTGCTGCAATAGAATGTTCGGTCTGAGCTGTCGACACATTAAGCACTCCATGAAGTTTGCCTACTACACATACCAGAGACAGCAAGAGTGGGTATGGGGGAGAGAACTAACATTCCCCGAGGTGGTCCCTTCCTTCCCCTGGGTAACTCAAGCATCCTAAACGTTTTTCTTATCCTCACATATCAGAGCCTTCTTCCCAAGAAGGTATATTAGAAATGACAGAATTAGCACTGCCTTCACTTTCTGAAGACTGAGGGAAATCCATTTTTATGATACCAACATGCAATATGGGAAAATATGAAATTTGAAGAAATAAGAATAAAGACATTTCTTGCCTGCGGCTGGCAGTTTCCAGCTCCACCCCCGATTCCCGAGGGGTCCTGTCTGGATGACTCAATCTCTGCCATTAGAGAGGAGCAGGGTGGAAAAGTTTGAAAAGCTTCAGAGAAGACTGTATTGACAATTTTGTTTTTATCCATCTGGAACCAAGCGCTCCCCCTTGTGACCAAGGCCCCTCACTGCATGCAACTAGCTCAAAATTTCAAAGACCCTGTAAAATTCAGTTAACCACTGACCGTGGTGCCCCAGATTCCACACTAATGAGGCCTAAAAGGGGCCTCCAGAAATGAAGGTCTAGCTTGACTCAGGGCAAGAGCAGAGGTGAAGGTGACCGAGAGCTGGGGAATGGAACTCCTATTCCCAGTGGAAACCTTTTGTATCCCACTCCCACACCCTCCCCCCGCCCCCGAGTTAGCTGGGTTAAAACACTCCAACAAGTCAGCTCCAGAGCACACACAATCCGACTTCATGGAGAAAGAAGCAAAGGTGGGGAGAACTAGAACACATGCAGGCCGAGTCGAGGCAAACCTGGTGTTTATCTGCCCCCAGGCAGCTGTGGCCTTGAGGGCATGACTTGCGTGTTGTACAACTTTAGATGAGGCCATCACCCACTTTCCTGATGAACCTGCCTGGCATCCAGAGGATCTCAATAGATGGCAGTATCTCCTGATTCACACCTTTTCCAGTATTACTGATTCTTGTCAATGAGGACAGGTATTACTGAACTGAATTAGCCAACAGATAACTGGAATCAGAAACTTCAACATATTCTAGAATTTGAGCAATGTAAGTCATCGCAACACCCAGAAAAGTGGTGGCAGGGATGACGGAGGGGAGGAAGAATTGAGTCATGTTAAAGCAGTCAGTGATGTTTCTGCAGGTTTAAAAGGGCATCTGGTAGGATCACACCCTATCAGCGTAAGAAGTTTCTAGGGCAGAAGAGAAACAAACAAACAAACCCCAAAGCAAATAACTTTATTTCTGTTATTTCTTTTTAAACAACCAAGGAAACCCTGAAAATCCAAAAAACACAAACAGCTGCGATTCAGGGGGCAAAAGAAAGACCCACACAGCCCTTAAAGCAACAACTTCCCCCAGCAGGCGGGGCGCACTGGCTGAGGGGCTCTGCTAGCTAAGGCCAAGCTCCTCCTTCCTAGCTGGGCTTCAAAGAATCAGCATGGTGGGGGCAGGCCCTGGAATCTGCCTTTTAAAACAAGTTTCCAACTAGTACTTAATTCGTAAGGTCTCGTCGAATGCCCAAAGGGACCTGGTAACATTTCCTCTCTTCCAAAATCCAGGCCCGACTCAGCTAATCCTAAACTAAAACGCAAGAGCTGCGCACCAGATGCCACCTGTTGTTTTTCAGGGACTCAGACTTTGGAGGAAATACATTCCATTGGCTTTCCCTCTCTAAGGACACCTGTCTGCACTTGGAACTGCGGCCGCACCAGTGTTTCCCAGGCCATGGCCTTGGCCCCCACCTGCAGTCAGGCTCCTCCACCCAACCGCAGGCAGGGAATCAAGCCTACGAGGTGCTGCTGGGGCGCCTCCGACAGTGGTGGAACCAGAGGGAAAGACAGCAAGGGGCTCTAGGTGACGCCGCTGAGGGGAGCGCAGTGGAGCAGGCAGGTCCCAGCTGAAACTCAGTTTCGAAGTGCCCGAAGGGAGGTGGTCAACAGCCACATCTTTGTTGAGCTGCTGCGGGTGCTGGAAAGAGAACCCCTGCACACCTCACTGCTTGCAGGAAGGGTCTGTGTTCACGTTCCCTCGCTTGGAGAGGCCTATGGGGGCTAGACGGGGACAGGGAACACGCAGGCACACGGCGGGTTGCATCTCTGGTTGCCAGGTCTGGGTTCACTTGGGGCCAAGGCATTCGACAATGCCATTCCCCTTCATGCCATCAAAGAAGAAGAAATTGTTGTGAGGAGGGTCCCTTTGAGACAGGGCCTGGGAGAAAAAGAAGAAGAGGGTTCAGCTCAAGTGCTTTAAAAGGGATAATAAAGAGAAAAAGAGAAATGAAACCCAATACCCTCAAACCCAGCTCCTGAAAGCTGTCTGGGCAGTGGTTCTCGACTGAGGTGGATTCTGCACCACTGGGCTAGTCTGGCTATGTCTACAGATAATTTTAAAATGAATTGTCATGTCTTTTTGCTCTGCCCCTTACCAGGTGTGTGTCCCTGGGCACATTACTCACCTTCTACCTCCCCATGTAAAACCAAACCTGCAGCTGTGCCTTCCCAGGCATAAGAGATGGCGTGTCTCGTGGCTACACTGGCGCCACTCAGCAAATGGCTGTGCAGCTGACCAAGGCAGCGAGTCAGTCCTTCATTGCCTGAAGGACACACAGGGATGCAGAAGGCCTCTTCCTGCAGCAGAGGATGCGGCTGCTTTCCATGGTACAGGTGGACCTGGGAAATGCTACTCAGCCACGGAAATGGAGGTTGTTTTGTGGGCTCAGCACCTTTAGAGCTGGGGTCAAACTCCCTAAAATTACATGCTAAGTCATCTGAAGGAAGGCTTCAGAGATGCCTTTGAGTTCTCCACAGGGTTCTTAGTCCAAAAGGGTGACTACTGAAGAGGAGGGTGTCACCGAAGCAAGCTGCAGGCAAGGGTCACAGGCTCCCGGAAGCGTGTGCCGTCCTCAGGAAGGGCTGTTGCAAGGTTAGGAATGCACTCGGAACACCCTGCAGCTCTCCTTCGTGAGGGGAGCATCAACGCGATCCAGGCCCAGGTGTGTGAGGGAGACAAGCCTACCTCCTGAGCGCTGTCACTTAATCATCTGCCCGGGGAACATGCAGAGAGCCTCGGCCGGGAACCAGGCGGATGTCACGCTGTACTAAGGATTAGCAGGTTCCCGCCACTTGGAGTTTGGAGCAGAGGTTTGTCCCCCGGGTGCATGTGAAGTGACACATCAACAGTGTGTGTCTGCTAGAGTTTTTGGTGAAAATAAGCTGCAATCTAGTTCGTCATGTGCAGGACACCAAGTTCCCAGTAAGTGGGCGCTACCCGTGATGGAGGTGGGGGTTCCCTTACCGATAACTGAGAATTCCAAGCACAACGGGAGAAGAGCCACAGAACCAACTCATAAACTCCCAGAACCCAGAACCCAGATTACAGAACATGAGAAGATGTGTTCGGACACGGCGCCGTGTGTGGCTGTCACCTACCACGACATGCAGCAGGCAGGGAGACTGGGTCCACAGAACAGGCTGGGCTTAACGTGAGGAAGCAAGAGTGACAGGACGACAGCAGTAACTTAGCATGGAGTCCAGAGTGACACAAAGACGATCCCGCAGGAACACACTTCCACATGAGTCCTCCACCTCCAATGTTTACTTTCTAAGGGTTGTCAGAAGGCCTCTTGGGAGCAGAGCAAGGTCTGTGGACTCGATTAGGGCCCCTACTGCCAGCTGGCTGGAGACTGGAACTTTGTTACACGAGGGGAGTGGCGGGGAGGGCGCAGGGTGAGCCTGGGGTAAAAGGTAAAGTGCTTCCCCAGTAAGATGGGGGTGAGGAGATTCCAAACACACCCAGCAGCCAGGAATGCAGAGTGCTCTGGCTATCCGGGTATCCGGGACAAACAGAAACAAGACGCGGGATGACAGCTGTGCCCGGCAGGCAGGAAGGAGGGGGCTGCATTGGGGTCAGAACTGGGACGCAGAGAACCCACTACAATGAGGTGAAGGCCACTTGCCCCCACACCCAGCTCCATCCTCCATGAACCCAGAGAGCAGCTTCAGCTTCGCTGTGGGACACATGGAAGGGAGGCTGACGGTGCAGGGACAGTGTCCCCAAGAGTGCAGAGACTGAGCTGCTGGACGGGGTGGGGTGTTGCACCCGAGCCACCGCACTGGCCTCCTAGTGAAGACGGCAGGCTCAGAAACCAGACCACCGGGGCCCAAATCCTGGCTCTGCCGCTTCCCATACCTCAGTTCCTCCTGGATAAATAAGGGGTTCCCACAGTTCCTACCTGCCAACAGCTGTGAGAATAAAGCCGAGTCTATCCGTACAACAACCATGATTTCTGCGTGTATGCACTGGGCATCCACTGTCCTGACCACTGTCGCTGCGGTCATTCTAGGCCACCCACCACCCGTTTCTGTGGCCCTTAGAGGTTTTCCATCCTGGCACGCTCCCCTGCAGAGTCCACTGAGGCGGCCTCAGAATCTTTCTCCAGGCCCATGGCAGCTACGACCAGCTTCTCAGAGTGGGCACATAAAGGAACCTTCCTGTCACCCAGCTGAGGAGATGTGAGCAAGGTTGTGTGTAGGCCTCATGTGTTGTCTTCCTCTCCCCATCTTAGCTCCTTGGAGCACCCCACTGCCATGGCACAGAAGGGCAGGCTTGGGGAAAGAAGAATTCAGTGCACAGAGGATCAGAAAACAGGAGGAAAGAAAGACATGGTGGAACTATCAAACTGGGTCATGTGCCTGGAGAGCAAATTACAGTTCCCAAAACAAAGGAGTGAGCGCTTGGTCTCCAAATATCCTCCTAAGTTCAACTTGGATGTGTACACAGACATGGAACCGATGAACTCTGCCCCATGAAGGAGGGACAACCTGGTACCACAATCCACTGAAGCAGCTAATAATGTGTGAAAGGGAAACTGAGCACGTTTGGGGCAAATGCCAAAGTCGCCCAAGAAAATAAAATACGTATTAGGGGCTATGTTCTAGTTTCAGCCACCCAAATATTCTACGAGAGACTCACAAGACCATGACAGTTATTGGCTGAGTGATGCTCAGTCAGATACTTCCCCTTCTGAGAGGAACAGTGATCTACCTAACAAGTCATAGGATACAGTGCACAGAAGCTTCTGGGCGCCTAGCAGAGAACACAGGATCTGCCGGCACTCCCTTCCCTCCTCTGTAAATCACAGTGGGTGCACGCCTAAGAGGGAGCTCAGCCATCCTAGCAGTGGATAAAGACGCGAACAAGTTGAGGCCAGCAACAAAGCCCAGGCCTCAGCGTCCTCCCTTTCAGCGGGGCTAAGGCTTGGACCCATGCCCGAGGGCTGCCAGACCACCGGCCACAGCATGAGCTCCAGCACTCTAGTCAGGGCTCACCTGTGGCCACGTGCCCATCTCTGGAATCAACAGAATGCCCCGCCCTGGATGGAGAGGAGGGGACAAGGGAAGGAGAAGGGCAGGGCAAAGGTGAGCGGACCCAGAAAGCAGGCCGCGCTGTGTCAGAGGGCAGCTACAAGGCCGAGGGGAGGCGATGCTCTTCTGTACTCCGCGGGAACTTTTACCTTCACAATTTCCTGGGCCAGGATCCCTCCAACCACAGCACACACTGGGACCATCTCAGAGAAGCAATACCTGAAAGAGAAGACAAATGACTTGGAATTTGAAGAACAGAATGGGCAGGAGGACATATGGAAAAGGTCAGCAGCAGGCTGGGCTGGATGAAAACATCTCCTACCAGGAGAATTCAGGCAGATTGCAATGTTAATGCTGGCACCTCGGTATGAGAATTAAATCTGATCTGGGCCTTAGTAGGTGGCTAGGAAAGACTTGAACCTTGGCAGGCAGGAACTGTTTCACAACATTTAATACAAACCAAAAAAGATTTATTTATTTATTTATGCATACTACTATTGGGAGGGTTGAGAGGATTCACCAGAGACAGAGTGGGGAGCAGAACAAGCAGACTGATTGACGTACACTGCTGAGGGGAGCAGCGGGGAGACAGGAGAGGCCTGCCATGCCGTGTGGGTCAGTTCCCTGGCCGGGGATCGAACTCGCACTGCAGCGGCTGTGGGTAGCTTCATTGTACTCAGACTTAACCCTTTATACCCAGGGAGGTCCACAACATTTTTTTTTAAGGTTAAGGAAAGACTAAATCTGTGCTTCCTAAAAATAAGGTCACCCAAATACCAGATGTGTTACAGTGCCCCAGTCACATTCTCCCAATTCTCTCTGTACTCATAACAGGCAGTCGGTTCTGTATGCTATTCCTAGCCCAACATCAGGGTGAAGGCCTGTGTTAACATGTAGGAAGCATGGGAAGTTGGGCCTAAAAAATCAAAGCATGGGGGAGAAAAGTTGTTACCCACATAGATACCAGTCCTTTTTGGTCAGGGTGGGGCATACAAGGGGCAAATTTTAGCTGATACTGTCACCAGCCTCAAAATGAACAATTCTGGGGATTGAAACACTTTCTTCCACAAGTGGAGCCTCTGAAGACAAAGGCGTTTTTTTGGTTTGTTTATTTTTGTTTTTTAATGAAGCAATTTTAAGGGAAGATTTATTTATTTATTTATGTATACTAGAACTGGGGTATAGGCCAGAGGTGTGGGGTTGGGGTGGTGAAAGGATTCACCAGAGGGCAGGATGGGAGACCGAGCAGACAGACTGACTGAAATATACTGCTGAGGAGAGCAGCAGGGCAACAAGAGAGGTCTGCTGTGCCATGTGGGTCACCTCCTGACGGGAGATCGAACTTGTGCTGCAGTGTCTGCTGACAGGCTCATACTGCTATGCTTTTAACCCGTTATACCAGTGGGGAGGGCCCTATATAAATCTCCCTTAAGATTACAATCATGTATCTTAGCATTAGTGTCCAAATAGTTTCTTATGGCAAAGCTTCATATGTAGAAGTGGTGGATCTCAACACACTTTTCAAAAATGCCCTCTAGAAAGGTTACATTCATGCCAATCCCACAAACCGTTTGAGGGTGCCCAGCTCCTCATACCCTGGCCTTGATGAGCACCACTCCTGTCTACTGAACTGCAGAGCTAGCATTTCCTCTGGCTCATTAAGGTCTACTACAGAGTATAAAACATAGAGAACTATTTGCTTCCCCTCCAAACAAAAAAAATACTCATCCAAGTCATCCTTAATTTAACTGAACAAAGATGATTAAATGTGAGAATAACTTTCCTTTTTAAAAAAAAGGTATAAATCGTGCCCATCCTTGGCGGCACAATGAGTAAAAAACGCAGCACTATGAAGGTACCCACAGCTACTGCGTCACGAGTTCAATCCCCAGCCAAGAAGCTGACCCATGTAGTGCAGCAGACCTCTCCTGTCTCCCGACTGCTCCCCTCAGCAGTGGATTTCAGTGCATCTGCCTGTTCTGTTTCCCACTCTGTCCCTGGTGACTCCTCTAACCAAACCTCCCAACTTCTGGCCTGCGTCCCAGCTCTTGTACACATGAATAAATAAACCTTAAAAAGTCCAGGGCTCTCCCTACTATTGCAACAGGTTAAAGCACAGCACTAGGAACCTAGCTGCAGCAGCTACTTCAGCTTGAGTTTAATCCCTGGTCAGGGAGGTGACCCACATGGCGCAGCAGACCTCTCCTGTCTCCCCGCTGCTCCTTCCAACAGTGTACTTTTGTCAATCTGCATGTTCTGCTCCCCACTCTGTCTCTGGTGAATCCTCTCACCGTCCCTGTGCCTCTGGCCTGTATCCCAGTTCTGCATGCATAAATAAATAACATCTTAAAAACAAACAAACAAAAAGAATTAACATGGACTCCTATCTGATAACAGATGCAAAAGTTAACTAAAAAAATAGATCACAAACTAGCAACAATAAATGCTGGTAAGGATGCGGAGGAAAAGGCACTCTCCCGCATTGCTGGTGGGAATGCAAACTAGTACAACCACTATGGGAAGCTGTTTGGAGGTTTCTCAAACTGCTAAAAATGGAGCTTCTATATAACCCAGCAATCCCACTCCTAGGTATCTACCCAAAAGACACAAAAACACTGATTCAAAAAGACACCTGCACCCCCATGTTTATTGCTGCCTTGTTTACAATAGGAAAGACATGGAATCAACCCAAATGCCCAAAAGTAGATGACCGGATTAAAAAGATGTGGTGCATACATACAATGGAATATTACTCAGCAATCAAAAAGATAAACCCATGCTTTTTGCTGCAACATGGATGGAACTGGAAAGAATCGTGCTTAGTGAAATAAGCCAGAAAGAAAAATTCCAGGTGGTTTCACTCATAGCAGGAACATAAAGGACCAGGGGGAAAAATAATAAATAATAATAATAATAACGATAATAAACAACTATATACCAAAGACATTTTACAGAGGTAGAGTAGGGAATGGTATCAAAACTGGCGGTGGGGGGGCGGGTTGGGAGGAGTGCACTGGACTATGGTGATGGCACATGGGCGATTTGGTGATGAGAAACCCATGGGGATTACAACTGAAATGGAAAAAAGGCACAAAATGATGTAAAAATAAACTATTACATATTATAAAAAAGATCACAGACCTAAGTATGGAAACCAAAACTATAGTTTGAAAAAAACATCTTCACGACCTTGGATTAAGCAAATGGCTTCCTGCACGTGACAATAAAAGTACTACATGGAAAAAAAGATAAACCGTCTTTCACAAAAATTAAAAAGTTGAACTTCAAAGTTATATCATCAAGACCGTGATATGGGAACCCATGCATGGGAGAAAAATTTTGCAGATATTCTTGTATATAGAATGTAGTGAACGCTTACAATTTTAACAACAAAAAGATAATCCAAATTAAAAATGCCAAGTGATCAAAACAGATATTTCTCTAAAGAATATATACAAACGGCTATAAGCACACGAGAAAAGACTGCATATCATTAGTTGTGATGGACGGCAAGTCATGCCACAATGAGACAAGTTATTGCCCACTGAGGCTAAGGCAAAGAGGGGTGGCCACAGCAGGAGACAGCCGGCAGCTCCTCAGGTGTTCTCCAGACTCAGAGGATGAACCATCAACACCACTCACCCCAAAGAGATGCAAATTCAGGTCCACACAAAAACATGACTAAGCTCACAGTGACTTTATGTGATAACTGTCAAAGCCTGGGAACAACGCAAACACCCCTGCTGACTGCCAGGCAGCCACACAGTGCAAAGCTACTCAGCAACAGGAAGCACTGTGGACGCTTACAACGTGGAGGGGTCTCCCGTATAGGAAGCAAAAAGCCACCAGATTCAAAGAAGCACACTGGGGGACGATCCCAATCAAATGTTCCTGGAAATGGCAGAAGTACAAAGAGAAAGAACCAATCAGGGTTGAGTGCAGGTAAGGGACTGACTACAAGGTACCAAGAGAGGATTTTTTTGATGAAGAAACTTTTTTATCTTAGTTATGGCAGTAGCCACATGATTCTATGTCATAAAAATTCATGGAGTTTTAAAGCAAAAACAAAATACCCCCCTCACAGAACTGTGTAACAAAAGGGAAGACATTTTGCTATATAGTTTAAAAATATACACCTTGAAGAAATATTTCAAGAATGAATTTTACCGTATTAAAATTTAAATAATGGCCCTCCCTGGTGGCGCAGAGGGTTAAAGCACAGCACTGAGAATGTAAGGCCGCTTCCGCATGAGTTCGATTCCCACCTGCCCCGGAGGAGATCCACATAGAGAGGCAGACCTCTCCTGACCCGCCCGCTGCTCCCCTCAGCAGTGTACTTTGTCGATCTGCCTGTTCTGCTTCCCACTTTGTCTCTGGTGAATCCTCTCACCCTTCGCATTTCTGGCCTGTACCCCAGTTCTATATGAATAAATAAATAAATAAATTTAAAAATAAATAAATAAAATAAAATTTAAACAATAAAAATCAAACAAGACAAGAGAACCCCCCCAAAAACAAACAAACAAACAGACAACTCTAGAAGATGAGCTAGTCTATACAATATAAGAGGTCTGGACTCCTTTCAAAGAAGTAGTAAATTGTTCTAGATCAGGAGTTAGAAAACCTTTTTCTGCGAAGACCCACAAAGTAAATTCTTTTGGCTTTATAGTCCATATGGTCTGTTTCAGCAATTCAAGTCTGCTGTCATACAGTTGTAAAAATTCTACAAAAGCTGTCACAGATAATACATAAATGAGTAGGTGTGGAATAAAACTTTATTTACAAAAACAGGTGGCAAGCCAGTTTGTCAACTCTTATTCTAGATTTTAAAAGATGCAAGAACCAAATGCAACAGATGAACTCAGATGTATTCTGAAGCATCAAGTTATCATTATGTCCCTCCCCCCCAAACAAACAGTGAAGCATTAACAATTGGATGTGAGTGGTTTTGAGGTGGTCACTTCTGTCCTCTTCTTTCCATTTTTCTGTACTTGACATTTTCTTAATAAACATTTTTAAATCTGTGTAAAACACTGCATTGTACTATATCACTAACTCTTTAATGCCATTCCAATCTTTCTCATAAATATGATAATGAGCAGTTCCTGTACATAGTTTTTATATACAATATTTCTTTTTAAAATATTTATTTGTGGGCCCTCCCTGGTGGCGCAGCGGGTTAAAGCACTGCACTGAGAAGCTAAAGCCACTTCCGCATGAGTTCGATTCCCGCCTGCCCCAGAGGTGACCACATGGCGTGGCAGACCTCTCCTGACCCACCCGCTGCTCCCCTCAGCAGTGTACTTCGTCGATCTGCCTGCTCTGCTCCCCACTGTCTCTGGTGAATCCTCTCACCGCCCCTGAGCCTCTGGCCTGTACCCCAGTTCTGTATGTACAAATAAAAAAAAAAAAAATATTTATTTGTGGCCCTCCCTGGTGGCGCAGCGGGTTAAAGCATAGCACTGAGAAGCTAAAGCCACTTCCGCATGAGTTCAATTCCTGCCTGCCCCGGAGGTGACCACATGGCGTGGCAGACCTCTCCTGACCCGCCCACTGCTCCCCTCAGCAGTGTACTTTATCGATTTGTCTGTTCTGCACCCCACTGTCTCTGGTGAATCCTCTCACCCTCCACATCTCTGGCCTGTACCCCAGTTCTGTACGAATAAATAAAATTTAAAAAAAATTTTATTTGTATTTATTTATGCATACAAGAACTAGGGTGTAGGCCAGAGGCGAGAGGACTCACCAGAGACAGAGTGGGGAGCAGAACGGACACAGGAGAGGTCTGCTGTGCCTGTGGGTCATTCCCTGGCAGGGGATTTAACTATTGTGGCCATAGCTGGCGATATTGTGCTAGAGCTAAGATTTCAACCCCTGCGCCACCAAGGAGGCCCTGCACAAAGTATTGCATCAGGTGCTCCAATTCATTATGAAGAAACAGAAGTACTGGGCCAAAGAGGGAATTTAAATACTCTTGATACAGATCTTCAACCTGCTTTCCAACACCCTTGCTAACATCAAATATTAAATATTATGAGTATTTTTTAAAAATATACAAAGGATTGTACACTTGCCATGATAGAAAACATATAAGATTATGTAACACCAAATGGCCAGTGGTATTCTCTAGGTAATGCACTTGTAAATAATTTTCATTTTCATTTTCGTTCTTGAATTTATTCTGTACTCTGAATTTTGCATGCACATAAACTGTTTCTGGAATTCAAAAAAAAAGGGCAAATATTCTATGATTCCGCTTATACAAGGTAACTATAACAATCAAATATATAAAGTTACCAGGAGCTAGGGAAGGTAGAAGGGGAAACATGTTTAAAAGGAACAGGCTTTCAGTTTGAAATAACAAAAAGAGCTGTGCAAAGGGGCATGGTGGTGGGTGCCCAAGAACATGAATGTGGTTAGTGTCCGAGAAGTACACATGTACTTCCATGGGGCTGACATTTTAACGACAATAAAGTCTTTAAACCGTAAGTTATATTACACAAACTACAAAGTGTTCATCACAAATGTTTCTAATAGTGATAAACTATAAACAATTTGCATACCCCCCAATAAGGTAATAGTAAAATAAACCATCAGAAAATGAAACATTAAGTAGGAGTGAGGATTTGGACCCATGTTTTTGACACAAATAGATTCACGGTACGCTGAAAAAAGAAGACTCTCGTACGGAGAATATGATCTCATCTTCATGTTTTTAAAGAGAAAAAAAAAAAAAATACAAGTAAACATACACAGAAAAGCCCGGGAGGCAGAAGTAGCCGTGGCTACTTCTCAATGTGAGACTGGGGGTGACGACCCCTTTCTTCTCTTTTACACTTCCTGGCAACGGCGTCTGTTACTTTCATAATCAGAGAAGCAATAAAGCTTTCTGAAAAGAGAGTAAATAACATAACATAAGGACAGTGCAGGCCGATCACAGATGAGGGAGACGGAGACTTGTGCACAGCTCTCTCAAGTGAGCACACTCCGCGTGGAGCTGGCAGCGGGCATTTGTGAGGGTAGCTCAGCTGCCAGACGGCGGCTCATTTCCTCACCAGCACCCCTAGCCCACCCCAGTCTCATCTCCACCAAGGAACAGACAGACTTCAAAAGGCCACTGGACACCTCTTACTTAAAAGGGCAATAGACAGGGAGCGCCTAAGCACATGAGGACCTGGACAGGAGACGCGGCTTCTGCAAAGAAGGAAAAGCAAACACTGGAGGGAAAATCAGGCAGCGCTAGTTAGGCTGTTAGCAGTCAAGCTGTGGCTTTCTCCTTCTGGGAAGCCAGGCCGCCGCCACTGCCGGCAAGGCAGAGGCAGGCTGTTCATCACCCAAAACTCAAACTGCCCAAATTAGCCACTCAGTTACATACCCACGGCCTGGCATTGAGCACCAGGTCTGCTTGGCAGGGCATGATAAACCTGGGCCCGGCAGGGTCAGCCTCTCCTGCTGTGAACAGAGAGTAGGCCCCTCCACCTAGAGTTGTGCCCGATGTTAGCAGGGACTCTGCCCTGCCTGCACTGTCCTCGGCCAGACCTACTCACTGGAGCAGCTGACAAAAGCACAGTGTAGGGTGCTGCTTGCTTTGGCTGAAATGAAGGCTCAGCAGGTGATTCAGAGACCACTGCTGTTTCTGCACAGGGTAGAGTTTGCCCAGTGCCTAATGAGGCCCCAGCCAGAGTGTAGAGGGGCATGGGCGGGGGGAGGGGAGGGGCTGAGGGTCACTAGCTGCTGAAGAGAACCCAGGGTACCGTACCAATGCACTGAGGCCAAACCATGGGCACGTGATAGCATCTTTCTGAGCCTCAGTTTCTTCATTTAAATGGGAAAATAGTAATACACACTGAAGGGATGGTTGTGACAATTAAATGTGGGGGTGGGCATCAAGCACATGAAGTCTTCCACATACTATGCGCTTGTCTGATCCTTGGGTTAGTCATTTAATTTCACCAAGCTTAAATTTAACTTTCCCACACCTTTAAAAAGGGAGCTGTGCAAAGAACATGAATGTAAAGCAACTACCACCACAGAGTGGTGCTCAATAAATACAGCCACCACTGTTTCTGCTACCAGCTGAAGGCACAGTGGAGCAGCCTGGAGATGCCCAAAGACAATGAAATGAAAGGCAACAGCACAAGGGCATCCCACTAATCTGAATTGTGCTCAGAGCAAAAGAGCAGCTCCTGAGGGCACGCGTGTGGGAACAAGGGGTGCAAGGTGATGCACCATCAACAGAGGGCAGCTAGGCGGTGTCTCCACGAGACCAAGCACGCCCTCTGACCAGTCTGGTCCTTTATCCTGCACTCAGACCTGCACACGTCTGAAATAAGTCACACATGAGGCCAAACATGACAGCAGAAGATGCGAGCAGAAGCCTGGCCACCACAGGAGCCAGCAGCGCCGACGACCTCCACTGCCCTGGAGTGGACAACAGAGCTGTGGAAGGGAGGGCGGAGGCGACGGATCTGCAAGTGTCTCCAAAAGATAATGTAAAGTGGAAAAAGGTACAAAACAGTATATAAACTTCATGGTGCCTTGAATTTAAAGCCATGTGACTAATAATGCAGAACCTACCCCCCCCCCTTTTTTAAGGAGCCATGTAATTTTTCCTTTCTTCGTAAAGATTTTACTTATTTATACATAGAAGAACTGGGGTACAGGCCAGAGGTGGGAAGGGGGGTTGGAAGGATTCACCAGAACAAGTGGATCTCCTGAAACCCAATGAGAGGAGCAGCAGGGAGGCAGGAGAGTCTGCCGTGCCATGGGGGTCACTGCCTGGGCAGGACCCAATGCGGGCTGCTGAGGTGGGCCATTCTATTGGTAGCACTGAGACTTAACCCTGAGCCCCCCCCCCCCCCCCCCCCCCCCCCCAGGGAAAGGCAGAGGCTTAGGGGATGCGGCAGAACGGGACAACAAACAGCTTTTACACAATTTTAGGCAAACACTAAAAGCAGATGTTAATCCAGCCAGGTCTAACTGTGATGAATACTGAGACCAACCTGACAAAGTCTTCGGGGAGCAGGTCAGGACTAACACCCAAGGAGTCAAGCACATCATTCCGAATCTGGAGCAACAACTCTGAATCTTCCCCAAAGGTATCAGAAGCAGGGTCTCTTCCTTTATCTGTGCGGAACTTCAGGAGCACTGGGAACAAGAGGAGAAGGCAGGTTAAAAGGCAAGTCTTCTCATAGCAACAGATGCTCAGTGATGTTTGTAAAGTTTAAGTGTTCTCACTCTACAGAGAACAGTGTATTAATTAAAATGTGCATCAAAGAAAAAGTGAATATATTTTTCATTTATTCAACAAATACAGTCAGAAAGGGTCAGAAAAATGACTAACATTACTGCGATGCTGCCATGGTCACAGCATGGAGGACCCTGACCTTACCTGAAGGGTAGTGACAAGTGAGGCTTCCCTCAAGTAACAACCAAGTGAAGAGTGTCAGTTGGGGGAGGGCTCCAAGCAGAGGACGAAGGCCCTGTCAGGACCCAGAAGGGAGGCCACGAGTGGGAGGCTGCATTCTTGGCAACGACGCAAAGGCTGCTCCAGCCAGGAAGGCTGGCCCAAATTCACTCACTAGACCAGCAAGTCACATTAAAATGAAACCTCCCTCAGTACAATTATGTCCAGAATCGGATGCTGAAATCTGGCTCCGATGATGGCAGCAAATCATAGCCCCTGGATAAGGAGACCCTTGGAATAAGGCTTCAGTTGTTTGCCAACCAAAAAGACAGTGGGGGCGTGAGCCAAGTGCAAGCCCTTTCAACTGCCGCTACGCCTGTCCCAGTGCTCACTGCGCTGCACGGGCGGCACTCTTGCTCCCCACAAGCTCCCCTGGCTCAAGCAGGGGCAATCCTACTCCCCTATCACACAAACTGCTCCCCAGCAGGAGGGAGACACATTAATCCCAGGGAGCTCTGGGGCAGTACTTCACACCTGGAAGAGGCTTCACAGTTTACAAAATGCTGCATTTAAGATTCTTCAGTCTCTGCTGAATGATAAAGTGAACTTATCTGGCAAATGACATTCTATAAGCGCAAGGGAGCCTTCCCTGAAAATTAAGGTGGAATGAAAACTCAGGACAACAGAGTTTTAAAAAGGCAAGTAATTGGGAACCTTCCCTGATGGTGCAGGGTTAAGTCTCAGTGCTATCAAGCTATCACTAGCCACTGAAATCTGAGTCATGAGTTCAATCCCCGGCCAGGGAGTGACCCACATGGCGCAGCAGACCTCTCCTGTCTCTCCGCCACCCCCCAGCAGTGTATTTCAGTCAACCCGCCTGCACTGCTCCCCACTGTATCTCTGGTGAATCCTCTCACCTCCTACACCTCTGACCTGACCTGTACCCTAGTTCCAAATAAATTTTTAAAAAGCAAGTAGTAGAAACCTTCAGAATAAAATACCAACCTTTCTATTTGCTCCTAAAAATTCTTACACATAGTTTGGGTGGTGAGTAGCCCACTCTAAGAAGTTATCTCGACCAGCTACCCCAGCGCTTGCTGGGTGCATGGCAGACCCAGGTGCTAAAGCGCAATGGCAGGTGAGCGAATAAGTATTGTTCTCTGCGAGTATAAAGATGATGGGTGGAAAAGGGGGAACCTAGGAGCCACCACAATCCCAGGAGAAGCTCGTGAATGAGTTACCAAGTGTCCCAAGAAGAGCACAAATCACAGGGGCCACGTCAAAGAGACAGTCTGGATCTTGGCTGTGCTCCCCTCATTACCAGTGTCGGAGATAGCTGAAGTTCTCAGGTAACTCCCACATGCCCTGAACAGGGCTCCACACATTGGAGGCCTTTAAACAAACAAGCAACACACAAGCAAGTGCTTCAGAACACCTGCATGAATATTCTTTTCTGCTGGGAACTTTATCCTGCTTCCTGTCCTCAACCTGCTCCTGCCCACTTGGCAGCCAGCTGGAAGCCAATGGCAAGTCTGGATACGACGGACAGTAATGTGCCATCACGCCGCTTCGTCTTAACTGCTGACTTTTGTATAGATGTCGCTGGAATCCCAGCTGGCAGTATATTAAGGCAATCAAATAAGCCTTTGAGGGAAAGATGCAGAAGGGGTCGTTAACCCCTGTGCAGATCAAGCTCTGTTCTGTGAAGACAAAGGAAGCTGCCAATCTGCTAGTCCAACCGAAGCAGAGGCAACTCCGGGCTGGCAGTACTGAGTGTCAGCACTACTCCTGTCAATCTCTCGAGATGACACGTAACAGTGTTGCCTGAACAGATGACAGATACGATGCCAAGTGCAGGCCATTCCCGCACCGGCCAAGGCCTAGCGGCCACCATATGGAATCTGAGCCAGGAGGCTTGACTCCAGCCTCGGAGCTAGTGGGCAGGGTGGGCCGCACTGGCCACCTCTTGTGCAGCCCTCTCCTATCTGTGTCAATGGGATAGAAGTAGTGCTTGTCATAAGGATGGAGCAGAAAAGACAGCTGCCCCAGCCCTCACCACACCACCGAGGTTTTCACCTTTTGGTTAGAAAATACAATTCTTAGAGCAATACTCAAACCATTATAGTAACTGCAAAAGAAACTGCCTACTATGTGTCAGGCACTGTTTGAAGCATTTTTATACACGTCATCACTCATCAATCACACAGTAACCTGGCAAGACCACTGGGTACCATTAGCTTTCTAACGTGTGGATGAAAAAACTGAAATTCAGATATTAGTGGCTTGTTTCATGAAACTGCGAAGGAGTGGGATGGAAATGCTACTTAAACCTGCCTTCATAATCACTGCTTCTTAACCTTCATCAAATGCGGGAGAAATGGCAGGCCCATCAGGAACACAGCCCCAAGGACTGTAAGTGGCCTGGCACTTTGCCCCCAACCTCAGACGACTTGCTTTCACCCACACTTTTGTGAGATGCATTTTCCAGATAGGCCTGCCTTCTCTTAACCAGATCAATGGGCGAGAAGCATAGGCTAGGCCGTAGAAAACCAGGCCTTCCATCTTCAGATAGTGAGACCAGTTTCCTCACAGAAAGAAGATGGCACTAAGAGCAAGCACGAAGAAGCCAGCAGCTGGCCCCGATGTTTCCTTGGGTCCCTTGCCTATTCCTGGTACAGGCCGCCTGGATGAGGGCCGGCAGGCTGCACCATCCAGATACCTCGCTGGCCACATCTGAAGTCTTCTCAGGGCCTCCGGGAAGGGGGCCAGTCAGTCCAGCCACTCATTTGCAGAAAAGCACACAGAAGCTGTATTTTTCAGCTTTTAATGTTAGCACTCCAGTTCGCAGAGGTGGAGGGGCAGGAGGAAGCCCCCATGCTAGGCGGCCCACATCCTCAGAACTGACTTACCCGCCCCCCACAAGTTCTTGCTTATTAAATTCTCCTCTTTGTTCTGCTTTCTTCCCCTCCCAAACAGACACAGACACACACACACACTCCACTGTTAACTCAGTGTCCCTGAAGAGCACTCGCAGCAGCCCCAGAGTCTGAGACTGTTAAGGCCCAATGCTGTCCAGGAAGGAGAGCTGCGCTGGTAGGTGCCTCTCAGGATGGAGCCTCTGAGGTGCCTCTCAGAGCTGCGAGCAGGGCAGAGCCCCAGCATGACCACCTGTAATCACCTGCATCAGAACCTTTCCGTTAACTCTGGCTGTTCAGTGCAGGGGGATGACATTCAATGCTAGAGACGACGACAGGTTACTTTCTCTGCTCAAGAGTTCAAGAATTGTCATGTTGACAGAAAAACCAAGGAAAAGGAAAACCAAGCAGTTTTTCAGATGCTAAAAGAAAAACTGCTCATGTGAACATCTACTTTTGGGGAAAAATTAAAACCCAAATTCAATCTGAACCAATATCAGATTAGTAGTATAAATTCAGAAAACAACAGTATTAACCAACTGTGTTTCTTTCTATTAAATCGTTACATTTAAATGTTATGATTACCTCTTGGAATGACCTGGAATTTGGCTCTATTCCTAGATAACATGAACTTCTAGGAAAATAAAACGTACAGTTACTCTCTTAGCAACAGCCCAGCTTCTACAGCAATTCACTAAGGTCTCACTTTCAGTCCACTGTTCATTCTTAACTATAAACTGAGCAGACTTTGTGCCAGGCCCTTGGCTAGGCAGAGGAGAACAAAATGGACACTCTGCCTCCCAAGGGCAGTTAGTGAGGGCAATGAAGAAACTCACAAACAAGTTAACAGGAAGTGCGAACTAGAAAAGGAGAGAATTATGGGTGAGGAAGGAATGGGGTGGCCCACCAGACAACTCCCACCATCAGGTGGAACTGCCTCACTGTCACTGGCACACCAGCCCCAAACTGGCCTTCACCACAGCGCATAGATGGCAGCTCTCTCGGGCTAACTAGACCCTCCCCCTCCTGCAAAGCCCCTCCTTGGTCTGGGCAGTTTCAGGGTTGGCGGGCAGCAAAGTGCTGAATGAGGAGCTTGGCTCTGAAGACAGACTGCCTGGGCTGTGTCCCTTTTGCCACCTACTGTGACCTCGGGCAAGTGTCAACAGACTGTCGCCTCCTCTGTTAAACAGGTCTCCTTAGAGCACCTACTCGGGTGTTTAAGGAAAGCAGCTAGGACAGCGTCAGGCACAGTGTAAGCACTACGGGAGCGAGCAGACCCCGAGTGGGCACTATTCCTCCCAGTCTTGGTATGCCCCCTCGAGAGGCTGACACACTTCCCTGTGTGGACGTGTGCGTGTCCTGCATGTCCTGCAGCAACTCACACTGGAATTCCATATTTGACTGTGTTACCACAACTAATTGCTGTAAACATTGGAGAATGGACAGTCTCCCTGATCCTCTGCTCCCTGCTCTTTCTGTTCTTAATCTTGGTTTGTGATTTCACAGCCATTTGTGAAAATCCATCTGTACCAGAACGACTGTCTATACTAGACTCCAAGCTGCATGGGGCAGAGACCCTATTCCTTTTGTTCATTGCTACCTACTTAATGCCTAACAGAGCTTGCCCCACCATAGCCAATGAGAAAATAACCACTCCATGGGATTCCTCAATGTCTAGGGAAGAAGGAAAAGTTGCCCATGAAAGGAAGAATTCTCACAACAAAGTGACAAGAGGTCTTCCTACACAGACCCAAAGTAGGCCAACTCTCTTACTAACTGAATTAGTAACTCAGTTACTACCACCTTCAAGATACCCAGAATGGATC